AACAAGGTGTAGAGCTGGATGAACACGGCAGACCAAGCAGCATCATAGGAGCAGGAAAGCTGACGTTTCGGGCCTAGACCCTTCATCAGATGAAGGGTCCTGTGATGCTGCTTGGCCTGCTGTGTTCATCCAGCTCTACACCTTGTTATCTCAGATTTTCCAGCATCTGCAGTTCCTACTATCTCTAATTATTCAGTGCTTCGATTGAACCTACCTCCACTACATTCCTAGGCAGCCCATTCCAGACCCTAACTATCCATAGAGTGTCAACGTTTCCTTTCACATCACCCTTCTTTCTTTTGTACATTGCTTTAAATCAATGCCCTCGCATTCTTGTTCTTTCTTTCAGCACGAACAGCTCCTCTCTACCTACCCTGCTCATAATTTTGAAACCCTCGATCAAATCTCTCCTCAGCTTCTTCTCTCAAAGGCGAATGGCCCAAACTTCTTTAGTCTAGCCACTTGTTATAAAGTTTCTAATCCCTCGAACTACTCTTGTAACGTTATCCCAATACATTCACGTTTTACCTAGAACTGAACACAGTCCCCCAGCTGAGGTTTAACAACTGCCTTGTACAAGTTCAAAATCGCCTTCCTACTTTTATATTCTATGCCCCGATTAACTGCTCTCTGCACCTGCCTTATCACCGTCATAATCTCTCCATACAAACTACTCCCCTCCCCCTTTGTTCTGGTACTCCCTATTTTATGTCGTCTTTCAGGATTCCTCCTACCAAAGCGCATCACCTCCCACTACTCTGCATTGAACCTCATTTGCCATCTATTTGCTCACTTCACCATACGTTAATGTCACAGTCTCCTTAGAAGAATTGTATCATCTGTAAGCTTGGAAAATGTCCGCTCCACACCAAGATCCAGATCATTAATATATATCAGGAAAAGCCAGGGACCCAATGTCAACCCTAAAGAATTCCAGGACAAACCTTCCTCCAGCTCAAAAAATATCCAGTGACCATTATTCTTTGTTTCATGTTGCAGCTGCCCCTTTTGTTCCATGCCCCATAGTTTTCCTCAAGTGTGGTGTATGTGGCACTGTATCATACTCCTTATGGTGACAGGACTCTACCTCCAGGAACACGGCTAACAGGAGTTGTCAATCCTATTCTATTATAAGTAAAATAGTGCAAGTGTTGGAGAATGAAATAAAAACAGAGTGCTGGAAAAACCTAAGAAGGTCTGGCAGCATTTGCAGAGAGAAACAGATTTAGCATTTAGAATCCAACAACTTTTTCACAACCATGTTCCATTGATCATTTTAAACAGTTCCACCAGCAATGTCAGAGTTTTTACAGCACCAAAACCCTTTGGCCCAGCATGTCCTGCCAATCATCATAATCTATTTATTCAAATCTCATTTTCCAGGACTTGGCTCATAACCTTGTAGGTATTTTCATAACCAACCTGTTCAAAGACATTATTACACACATCTGGTGCAAGTAGGACTTGAATCCAGGTCTCCTAGCTCAAAAGACACAACCACTGTGCCACAAAAGCCCTAATACAGCAAATTGATTAAAAGTATTATGACACATCTCTGAAGTAGTTGGAACTTGAGGGCTTCTGACTTGGAGGCAAGGAAACTGCCACAGCAAGACAGCCCCTGGCCTTGTATGCTTATGGCATTTCAAGTGCTCATCTAAATATGACTTGGATACCATGACAGTTCCTGCCTCCACCACCCTTAGATAAAGTGCCAAATAACCTTCTGTGTTTAAAACAAAATTCCTCAACTCTGTCTAAACCTCCTGCTCCTTATCTTAAAACTTGTCCCCTGATATTGAAGCCCTTACTAAGGCAAAAAGCTTCTACCTATCTATGCCCCCTCAAAAGTTTGTACACCCTCAGATACCCACCTCAGCCTTCGATGCTTGAAGGAAAACAATACCAGCCTATCTGAATGAATGAATTTTATTGTCATGTGTAATTTAGTGAGAAAAACAATACAGTGAAAAGGTTTCCACTGTCAACACAATCCAGCATTGAATAGTTTTAAGAATAAGAAAAAAAATAGAAAGGCATGGCTTAAAGGGAGTCCATTAGTCTGGAGTTAGCTCATCATCAACAATGCCTGTGCATAGAGTCTCTCTTCAGAAGAGAATTGCTCCAGTGACATCCTGATGAATTTCCTCCGCTCCCTCTCTAATGCATTCACATCCTTCCTATAATGTGGCAACCAGAACTGCACACAGTAATCCAGCTGTGAACCTCATTAACATTATTGTGCCATCGGTACCAAAAAGGACACTCTTTGGGAGACATCATAGGAGTATTTGGGGAAGGATACTGGGCTACAATGCAATGTGTCTGTGTTTGTGAACTGCCTCACCGATTTCATTTTACTCTTACCTGGGGTGTCCTCAGCATTTGTATTCCACCCCTAATTGCCCCTTGGACCTAGTGATTTGCTGGGCCACTGCACAGACCAGTTAAGAGGCACCCACATTGCTGCGGGTCTGGAGGCACACATAGGCCAGACCAGCTAAGGACAGCAGTTTCCTTCCTGAAAGGACATTTGTGAACCAGGTGGCTTTTTTCCAAACAATTGACAATTGTTACATGGTCATTGTTAAACAATTAACTCAATTTTTAAAAAAAATTGTGTTCAAATTCCACCAGCTGCCGTGGCAGAATTCAAACCCAGGTCCCTAGAATATTAACTGGGTCTCTGGATTAACAGTCTAGCGATAATACCACTAGATCATGACCTCTGCGATAAATGACCATCGATGTTTATGACATTCAATGAAAATCTCAGAAATGGTGAGCATGAAGATAACTTTCAATTCCAGATTTTGAGTTCAATTTAAATTCCACTGTCTGTCACGGTGGGTTTTAAAACCAATGTCCCAAGAGCATTAGCCTTTAAGGCTACTCATGATAAATATTCCCAACACACCACTACCTCCCTCAGGTCCAGTTTACATTTAACCAAAAAAATGTTGAAAACTGGGGTGTTTTGACTATTGTTAGGAGGTTATGGTGACATTTAAACAAACAATATCTGGTCATTCCTAATCTTGAGGCACACTGGGTTTAGTCATGGAAACAAGACCCTTTGGTCTAACTTGTCCATGCTGACCAGCTATCCTAAATGAATCTAGCCCCATCTGCCAGCATTTGGCCCTTATCCCTCTGAACTCTTCCTATTCATATACCTGTGCAAGATATCCGCACTTCAGACAACAAACGCACCAGGTTTGAGTCCTGTACACCAAGACTTGATGGGCGTAGGTGTGTGTTCACAACACAGCCAAACAGGTCAAGAATAAGCCTGCCAATCTTTCCAACATGGTAAAAGCAAGAGATAGCATTGAAAACACGCCACTTTTCTCTTCCACCTCTCCCTCCACCCCAAAAAACAGTGGTTCAAGATGGCAGCGCACCATCTTTTGGGTGATAAATGCTTGCCTAGACATCCCATGAACAAAAAAAAATTCCCAAATATTTCACAGGGGATGGCCTACCAATATTGCCAGACAATTAATCTAGACACCCAGGTAATGTTATGGGTCCTAGGTTCAAATCCCAGCACGGCAGATGGTGGAATTTGAGTTCAGTGAAAATCTGGAATTAAGGGTCTGATGATGACCATGAAACAGTTGTCGATTGGTAGGAAAACCCCATCTAGTTCAGTTATGTCCTTTAGGGTGGAAACTGCCAACCTTATCTGGTCTGGTCGACGTGTGGCTTCAGACCCACAGCAATCTGGTTGACTCTTAACTGTCTGTGGGCAGTTGGTGATGGGCAATAAATAAATGCATCAGAAAACTTAAACATATCTCTTTAAAAGGAACAGCAGAATGCATTCAACAAATCATGAAGGTTTTAATTTTTCTTTCTTGCATCAAATATTTTGTATTCATTTAGATGCACAAATCAAAGAGCAAATACCAAAAGCTGTAGCACAATAAGTGCAGAAATTGTGATAGAACTCAGTGGTAATGTGAAAAGTGTGTGTTAAAAGTTAAGAAGGATTTAGTAACATCTGTGTACCTTTTATGATGTTCTTATCAAACCAGGTTATCTTATTCCACTGCACAGAATTTAAGACCACATTTACCTAGATAAGTACTACACTAAATGTTTTAGCAAATCATCTTTTAAGTTAGCACAGCATTCCACTTCCTATGGATACACACTGTAAAAGCATTTCTCAGATGGAATTTATTAATAAACAACTGCTGGTAAAGCATCACACAAAGTAAAACTTAATTCATACTCTGCTCCTGTCCTTGTTTACGAAGGTTGAGCCACAGACTTCCATGGGAATGCTTCACACTGGTGGGCAAATTATTATGGTGGTTTGTTACCTTGTGCAGACTGGTTGACCAGCAAACTCACCCGCTTGTACCACTTACTACCAGGTGTATCAGAAAGCAGAGAAATTATGTAATACATGTAAATGAGATTTACGAAAGCCAGGGTGAGACAAACACATCCATATAGCAGATGCCCATTTTAAAAATAATCCTGATAATCAACCTGTCTAGCCACATTATGAATACTCTTCCAATGCCAACAAGGCCTGGCCTGTAACTTGAAAATGGAGTTTCTGGACCAGAGACAGGAACGTTATTCACTGCACCACAAGAGCAACTAATCAAGTGTAGAGCTGAGAGTTTTTTTTTTTTAAGTTGTACTTGAGCTGTTAACACCAGGATTATTTTTAAATCAGAATCTGGAACATCTTGTTTGTCTCACCCTGGCTTCCTTAAAACTAACCTGACATCTGTTGCATTATTTCTCCAGTTTCCAGACTTCAGTTTTCCAAAATAAACTCCTTGCACTTTCTGCATTCATCCCCTGCTAAATCGTATGGTAACTGGAACAATTGTGCAGGAGAGTTGACTATAAAGTAAGTTCTTGATAAATCTGTATAAAACAACGGTTCAACCTCAACTAGAATACTGTATCCAGGTCTGACGTTTTAGGATCAAAATTTTGAGAGTGCAGGAAAAAAATCATGGGCATGGCTTCAGAATTGGGGAATTTCTGTTACATCATAGAATCCCTACAGTGCCGAAGCAGGCCATTCGGCCCATCAAGTCAACATCAACCCTCCAAAGAACATCCCACCCAGAACCCCCCTTACCCTAACCCTGTGCATTCCATTGCTAACCCACCGAGCCTGCACATCCCTGGACACCAACTGGCAATTTAGCATGGCCAATCCACCTAAACTGCACATCTTTGGACTGTGGGAGGAAACCAGAGCTCCCAGAATAAACCCACAGAGAATGTGCAAATCCACACAGACAGTCACCTGAGGGTGGAATCGAACTCAGGTCCCTGGCACTGTGAGGCAGTGGTGTTAACCACTGAACTACCGTGCCATGCTATGACACGACTGAAGGAGCTGGGACTGTTCTTCTTCGAACAGAGGAGATTTGATAGTGGTATTCAAAATTACAAGGGACTTGGACAGGATAAAGAAAGATTCTTCCCATTGGAAGAGATGGTAAGTAGAGTTCACAGATTTTTGCTAATGAACAAAAGAAACAATGTTTGAAAAAGTCCTCAGAGTTGCAATTGGTTAGGATTAGGAACCTGAGAATGTGGCAGAGGCAGATTCAAGCAAGATATTCAAAGAAAATTGGGTAACTTTATTAAAATAAACAGTTGCATTGCTACAGCGAAAAGGAGTTACTGTTTCAGAGAGCTAGCATAGACATCACGGGCCAAGTGGCCTGAACTGTAACCATTCCAGATGGACTTAATGGCCTCTTTCTGTACTGCAACTTTTCTGTTGTTCTACAGAGATGGAAAGGAAGAAAAATAGAAGTTCTCACTCCCCACGGCGCCATTACAACTGCCTTGTGTGCATCGTGCTTTTCTTTAATGCTCTTTCCAAATAAGAATCTAAACTAAAAGTTAATTCCTTCCAATAGCAAGGAAGGATGTGCTAGAGAATCGGGTAGGAGCACTCTCTAGATTTCGGACAAAACCACCCTCGATTAAGTTGGGAGAGGAAATGGCAAGACCACCAGAATAATTCAGTGGTGGCTCAGGCACTGAGCAGCCTAGTAAACTTGCAGCCTTGTACAGCTGAGGGAATCCTTGGCTGACAGGCCTCAAAGCCAACCCTGCAGTTCCTACTATCTCTGATTCAATTTTAACCTCACAACCCAACTTACTGATTGCTCAGGGATACTTCACAGATCCTCAGGCTGGGTGCTGGAATATTACCAGCACATCCAACCAGCAATGGAGAGCTGCCGGCCTCCAGTAGGACACCGGATGCTAGCCAGATGAGTCACAGAATTCCCACCAATTACTTAATCTGGCAGACCCCTCCCACAGGAACAAAATCTCAACATAAAACTAGTAATGAGCACAGTAGGGGCAAAGGATGACTTTAAAAAGGCCCATACAATTTTACCTTACTGGTTCTAGTGACATTACCCAACCATGAGTATCTCTCCATTTGTTGCTTTTTGGAGCTTATCTTTGAACTTAGTGCATGAATAATGCCTAAATATGCAATGAAGTAAACTTTGGATTAATTCCACAAATCTGGCATCAATTGTTCCTTCATCAAAAAGTGAGTGATAAAACAAACATTTCCGAACAAATCCAACTTCAAAGCAACACTTCTGTTCGTAGAAAATTCAGTCATTTACATTCTCCATCTTGTTTGGGAGACATTCAAGAAAACCTAATCAAGTGGCAGATTGCAAGTAGAGGTCCCATATTCGCACATGAACAAGTCAGGCTTAGGACATTGATGTTAAAAAACAAAAGTTAGCAGTTCTCATTACATTAGAAAAATAAATGATGCATTTGTGTATGAAAACATCAGTAAGACTTAGATGCTTTGATTCAATTAGACATCACTTGCCAAGAAACTAAGATTTAAAAAAAAATCTCAGCTTGCACAGTAAAACAAAATGCAATTATAACCAGTTTCCTGAACAATAACAGCATTTATTGACGGAGCTAGACTGAACTTAATACATTTTAAAAAAAATATTCACTACACTTCCAAATACTCAATTTGACAAATTGTATACAATTTTGTACATAACAAAATAATTGTTATGGATCCGTAAAAATAGTAGCCAATTTCTGCAATATTGATCTGAAAATGAAATACTGTAAGCTATAAAAATGCAATGACAATATTGTGTAATTTGGATGCAATTCTGAATTCAGGCTACGTCGAGCAAGAAAAAAAATACAATAAATTCACAGAAATACCACAGTAGTTTGTGTACACAAGTGTTCTTTATCTGTAGTCATTTACTGAAGATCTTTGCAGTGGGTTAGCCAGTGACAATGTTAGAAATTATCTGGTGATTTTCTTAAGAGTGAAATTCTAGATTTATACAGAATAACCTTGATACCAATTCTATCCAATAAATGTTTATAACAGGTGAACATGAATGATATTACTGTATTCGGAGTGTATCTCAGCAGTAGATGCAGTATTTACAGAGTTTTAATTAAAAAATTGTACATAGCACAGGTTATTTTTTTTTTTGAAACTAGCAATAGGTGCAACACTCTCTATCACAGATATAGGCCACTCTGTGCATTGCCATGTAACAGTTTGATAACTCAAGCAAACAAACCTTTAATGCAAAGAAGCAGCACAATAATGGTTTCATGCAAGAAAATAATTCAGGAATCGTCAATTAAATCATAAATAAGTTCTCCTTCTGAAAGTTAAGTTACAACAAATAGAAGAAAGGTGTACAAGATTGTTAGCAATTGTAAACCAACATTTTTGATAAATCTTCAAATTAGATTTAAGTTTTCGAATTACCAATTACAGAAATCACTTCAGTCTTGTCAGAATTCATACAAAAAATGGTTAAGCCAAAATAATCGTCAACACGGATGTTGGGAGGGGGGGGGCAGCAGCCTCATGACCCTTGGCATTTTACAATTAAAAAAAAACACCTAACTTGAGCAACTGACCTAGTATAGTCTCCCAACTGGTTAACTGCACCATCGTCTCATTCCTTCTACCAAATGCAGTGGTGCACAATTTACCACCTGAAGATGATTCTGCTGTTTATATATTTGGTCAGACAAATTAGCAGCACCTACAGGAACTCAAACCCACAATTATTGAGGTAAGCATCAACCTTTATAGGCACCACGACCTGCACAACTTCGGAATACAACATATTGACCTTGAGGGTTTTGAACTTTGATAAAGTGGCAGAAGTCAGTCTTGGGATGGAGACTGGTTCTGAGAGGCCATTTGTATATTTTGTTTAAGCATTCTACTTGTGAACAGATTTCATTTTCACTGTACGTGAGGGCAGATGCTTATGTCAAAGCATATATGGAAGAGTTCAAACAAAGGCAATAGTTATTCTTGTTTGATGGCAACTGATATTTTCAGCAAATGAATTCACAGACAGGGGAGCAAACCACAGTGACAAAGGCATAATCTGAATAATGGGCTGCTAAGAGTCATGGCTATGCATGCATTTTAGTTCAACTTCTTTTGATTTGTGTCCCTTGTTCTAGTCAGAAATGTAAGGACCAACTTCAATCAAATTTGGCCATTCTTACATAGACATTAAAAGCTGCTTAATGGAATTTGACCCACCTTTAGGTCCAATAGATTAGACATGGTCGTGTTAAACATTTGACCATCATGCTTTGGTGTAGCCAAAAGTGAGCACATGCCTTACAAAGTAAAGTGACCAATATTACATTCCACACCTACTCCATGCAACAATAAAAAGATATTGATAACGTTAAAGCAATAAAAGTAACTGGTATCGTGTCTGATTTACATTTCCAAGGAGACCCAGGAGGATTATGGGCTGAAACACGACAGATTTGCGTAATTTTTATTTTTAAATACATATGTGGGGATAGGGAAAAACTTCTCAAACCAAGCAAGGTAAATAAGTACAAGATTTAAGGGGAAAAAACCTACTATAAATATAGGTTCAGTACTTTCATGTACAATAAAGAAATGACAAGAAGTGGAAAATGTAAAGAATTGGCTTGGGAGCAAGTTATACAGAGAGAGGAATTTACTCCATCCTCTCCAGCATATATTGTTGGTTTAATACTGCAATATACTTCATGGGTCCCAAAACATTAGAAATCAAGGAAAAAAACCTGAGGTCATTCTGATCACAAAAAACATTAAAAACCCTGTTGAATCACAAACAAAGCGGCAACCATTTTACTAGATGGTAAAATAAAGTCACACAAAAAAAATTACAGGTTTTTAACTTCCAAGACAAAGCCTGCACCCAAGCTCCAGTAACAAATGGGCTGGTCCTGAAACAGTGCAGATTTTCTTCCAGTGTCATGTATGTTTTATTTCTCTCTACCTGCCTGAGCAAATCCGTTCCGCTCCAGTACAAACCACATGAGAAATACGAAGCAGGATACCAGTTTAGAAAAATGTTTCATTTTGTACAGAATAGTAATACCAGACATTCTGATACATGTACGGTCAACCCACGCTGGCATCACTAAGACAACCAGAATATAAAATTTACTGCAATATCATTACAGTACAGGCCTCAAGCTGTTTGTGCATCCCACATTTTTCACCAGTACCTGTAATCACTTCATGGATCTTGTAGATTTATTACCCATGAATTGGTAATACAACAGTGTTAATCTGGTGAGTGGCAGTACCAGAGATAGGTTTGTATCAGCAGTTACCACATCTGGAGGTACTTAACTAAACCAGTTTTTAAAAAAGTACAAAGGGTTAACACTAGCATATATCTTTGTCAACAACCCATCTGTTCAATAAGTAAACTTCTCAACACCATCCTAACAAAATTATAACCGAAACGAAAGCAGCAGCTGGTTGGCACATGCTTAATTCACAGTCTCAGAGATGCCATGTGCCAGTGTATTAATGAGATTTGGTGGGATATGGACCATTATCATCCTCAATCATCGGAGGAATTCAATCTACAATGGCCACTGGGGCAGATGAGAGCTGTTACTGATAATGGAAACACAAACCAAAATAAATGGCCCCAAATTTAAAAAGAAACAATTAAAACATTGCGGTGATCACTGGTTGCAGGCAAGGTATACTGCAGACATATCATTTTCAGACTGGTCCAATGCCTTTGCTTTCTTAAACACCTACAAGAAAATAACAAATTTGATGTTAACATCAAAATTTAACAGTACATTAATTGCAAAACTACTGGAAGATTATTCCAAAAAGATAAATAGATCATAGGTAAAAAGAGTAGTCAGCCTGCACTGCTTGCAAACATTCTATTAGTGCATTGCAAAACTGTATGAATCACAGGCTCAAATGCATTAACTTTAAAATGTTGTTTGCACCAAAGAGATTGACAATGAAATAAGAGACTTGATATTAGCTCCATTGTTTAAAATCATGTATAAATAGCGCCGTGTCTTCCATTTATTGTAGACTTAAATAAAGCTCAGCTAGAGCCTAGACATGATACTAATGTTCTGACTTGCTATGACATCAAACGTCAGAATCTCCAGATGGGCAGTAGGATAAAACTACAGAGATAGTAGGAACTGCAG